CACATATTGTTTTTGGTCTGCACCGGTGCGTGCCAAAGCAACATGGCCTGCATGAACCCATACAACAATGTTCTTGGGGTGTGACTGTTTTAAAACTACATATTCTGACAATTCTGGTATGCTTATATATGTTTTTATGTTGGCTTAGACTGTTGTATAGTAATGGAGTAACATACCACCATGTTGAAATCCAAGATGGCCGCCATCCTATGCTTTTCTAAGTGTCATAATTCTGTTCTCCATTATCGAAAATGTGGGTTTAGACATCAAAGTTATGTCTCTACGACGTCTTGGAGTCTAGTTATTCAAAATAAACAAATTTCACTGGCGGCGATATTGAAATCCAATATGGCCGCCATCCTATGTTTCTCTAAGTGTGATAATTGGGTTCTCCACTATCGAAAATGTGGGTATAGCCACCAACATGATGTCTCTACGACGTCTGGGAGTCCAGATATTTCAGAAAATCCATTTTCGCTGGCAGTCATTTTGGATTTCAAGATGGCCGCCACAATACGCAAAAGTCAGCCTGGAAACATACCCAGTGGAACTCCCCAAGTATCATAGAAATGATATTTACCCGTTTCCAGCCTCTACCCAAAAAGTTTAGGCTCATCCTTATTTTAGCTCTTTTTGAAATCTGCCCCCTGACTACATGTGCCAAACGTACGATTGTCAAATTTGGCATGTGCGTGCATGTATGTATGCATCATGCATGTATAAATGTATGTACGTGTGTGTGTTTGTATGTTCGTGCGCGCGTGTGCGTAAATTATTGTGGGCTTGTGCTCGTGCTAGTATGTGATGGCTATCGCCGATCATCCACCCCACTCCTCGGTTCGGATTTACGCCCCTGATTCGCACACTTCACGTGCTCATTGCCGCCCCCCCCCTAAAATAAAATCCTAGCTACGCGCCTGCCATGATCCCGAAAATCATTTCTGTTTGATGCTCTAAGGCCCGTTTATTGATTTTCCGGATCAGGCATGACCTATTGCACAGTCGTAATGTAGGCCGAAATTACCGATAGCCTCAGAATAGCAACGAATGTTTGGTGTCTCAGCCATAAAGTGT